TGCAGCGTCAGACGTCACGCAAAAAGTTGTTTGCGTTGGCGAGCGCACAAAAGTAGGCAACGTTATCTTTGCATGCGGTACATATGGGGGCGTGCCTCGGCAGGGCTGAGCGGGGGCGGGCATATGTTTACACACATGTTGGAATGTCTATTTAGGTGTGTGTGTGTGTCTCTCTCTCTCTCTATCTATCTATCTCTCTCACTCTCATTCTTTGGGCTGATGAGTTTTGTTTTTCTTGAGCAAACTTTAATTGTTTTTGATTTTTCTAAGGATTCAAGTGACGCTCGTTTGCATCATGATGATGAAGATGCCGCAAAATAATGATATATGTGTATATGAAGGACATGTGTCTCTCTCCTCTCTCTCTCTCTCCCTCTCTCTTTCTCTATCTCTCTGTATGTCTTGCTTGAAGCCTTTGAATGTCGTTTTGGAGGATAACAACAAATCAACGTAAGGAAAATTGAAACCGCGCGCGCACTCTGGCTCCAGATCTGTTTCTGGCTAATTAAATGCACATTTGTCAAGCTTCGCCTGAGGGGCCGCTGTCCCAGCCGCGCCCCTCTCTCGCGCCCATTGTTGAAAAGCCACTTGAACAACAATTGGCTGGCCCAATTGCCCAAATGTCACGTACGCCCGTGTAAATGTCAAAGAAGAAGGGTTAGAGCTACGTTTGCTAATTGTTGCAGTGCCCCCCTCAATTGGCGGGAGGGAGGGGGTGTGGGGGGTGTGCTACATGTTGCATGCTGCACTTTTCCTAGCTCTGTATGCACTTGGCTTAACAGTTCCGCCTGCAGCATCCACTCGCTCCCACATTAAAGCATCGCAGGCTGCTCGGGAACAGAACAAAACAAAATGAAAATCATCTGATTTTCCTCGCTTTTCATTTTGTGGCTCATCTGTTTGGCAAATTGAAAATTGCGCTCATTTATTGCATTATTGGCAAAGCGTAGTTGTTGCTGGCTCCCCCTTTTTTTTCTGCATGCCCATTCAAATAGCCGTGAAATTGCATTCGATTTGTCTGACAAAGTCTCTGTGTGCAAATGTGAGCGGGCAGGAGTGGCCGGAGGAGATGGAGGAGTTGAATGCGGTGGTTAGTCCAGGCAAGTGTTTGACAATTGTTGGCTCTACTTTGATAATCAATTGTGTTTAATATTAAATAATGTGACAATATAACCCGATTCTAACTCAACCTTAAGCATGGAAGTATTTAGGGAAAGCGGGAAACTGCGGGATATTACTGAGTTTCCATATGATAACTTTCACTTTGAATTGAGTCTCGAGATCTTTGCAGATATTATAGAATACACTTCTCTTATAACTATAAGCATAATAAAAGTAACAGTGAATAATAAAATATGCTAACACCTCCTCTATTCCATTGTGTGTCATACGATCTCATGTACAGTTACCATAGAACAGCTCCAATTTATATATATTTTATATATTGATCGCTCAGCTCATATGTCAATTGCAATAAAAAATCGTCATTAGGCCACACACACACACACACGCACACACTCTCTGATTCATGTAAAATGAACATATTCAATCGAACTACTGTAAACGCATTTAGCTGTGGCCCATTGGGAATCCATTCGATTGCGCTGGAATGTAAAATAAAACCTAAGCGTGAAAGCCGAATGCCCCTTAGACGATGGCCGCCGAGTGTGTAGTGGGGAAAGGAAAGGCAGGAAGGGGCAGGGAGAGGTGAAATCAACGTCATCGTTAAATTTAATTAGGCATCAAATGACCAAAGAGCCAGAGCTAAATCAACAGCCAAATGGCCTGTAAGTCTGTATAATCCACAGCCCAGTTGCTGCCCCTGCCCCTGCCCCTACCCCTGGCACGCCCTCCGCTAACAGTTCCAACCCCTCGTGGAACACTTTAAAACACAATTAAAAGTCAAAACGTCAGCCAAGTAAATGGTAAATGGATGCCACTGGGCAAACCTCCACGGACTTCATTTGCAAGTCAGCAGCAGCAGCCGACGCCAAGGAGTCGGTATCAATGCGTGTGTGTGTGTGTGGGTGTGTGTGTGTGCGAGGGGTGTTTATAATATGAGACGCATTTTCATAACATTTAACAATGTCATAATCAGAATGCGACATCAGCTTAACCCTTGGGCATGTTAATGAGACACTTCAAAGAGCTCGCTGAGGAGATTTACATTTTTCGGCCTGTGTGCGCATACACGCATGAGCCACTGTGCGGCTTTTTGTTTTTATTTATTTTATTTTTTTTTTCATTATTAATGTTCGCACTATGAGTCAGTGAGTGGGAGTGGGAGCAAAACTAAATGTATTACGAGTCCATTAGTGTAAATTTTATTACCACAAAAAAAGAAGTGGAAGTGAGAAGTGGAAGAAGAAGCAGCAGGAGCAGCAGCGCAGATATGACGGAAGTGCAAATAAATGTATCTCAAAGATACAAAACGAACTTATAGATATAATTACGCAGTGCAAATTGGTTTAGCACCACATGAGGCAGCAAGACGCTCTAATTAGAGAGAGAGAGAAAGAGCGAGGAAGAGAGATAGAGAGAGAGAGAGTACAGATATAAGACAGTCGAAGCCACGCCGAGAGTGTGAGAGCCGTATCATGAGCTAGCTTTTAGTGAATTCAATTTATTTGCGCAAAACGAACAAACACACACACACACACACACAAATTGCACAAAACTAATTTCCATTACACACGATTTTTATGCGCCTGGAAACAAGGCAACCCTCTGGCTGCCGCCCTCCGACCCTCGGCGGAAATAAAAGCCAACTGTTTGATTTTTTGCTTATCTAATCGCAAACACCACAACACGTTCAATAGCTTATCTCAACCCGCACACTCACACTCACACTCGCACTCCCACTCACACACTCAGTGAGCCCGTCATTTTCCACACATTTCCATTTGCACCTTTTCTAGCGGTTCCATAAAAATAAACTTAAATAATATGTAAACAACATGAGTAAACGGGTTACACTTTGCCTTTGGCCCAATGCGGGCCAATTTTCAATTAAATTGAAAAGCTAGCTTACTTTTCTTATGCCTATTCTTCTTCTTCTTATGCATGAGGGTTCAATTGTAAGTAGTCGAAAATGCTGATTGGATTGGCCGGCTGTCTAGTTGGATTGCACACTCATTCATTTCAATTTCTATCTATAGAATATAGCCAAATCCATTCGGCTTTACATTAACTTGTATTACTAAATTGGGTATTTTTAAGCGAAATAGAAATAAATCAGTACATATATGTACATCTATGTATTATAAAAAAAAAAAAATAAATAAATAAATAAAATATATTCATTAGTTTTTTAATTTTCGGCTTTGCCTGGGAAAGGTAAAAATGCTTAAAACATGATAAAAAAATATAAAAATCATTGATAATAAATTTATAAAAAAAATCTGCAATAAAGAAAGCAACTTCAGCTTCAACTTCATCATCATTTTGTGATTATTGAAATATAATATTAAAATAAAAAATATTAAAAAGGCGTAACCCGCAGCCCAAAGAACTTATATTTTATTTAAATTTATATATAAGTTAAGAATAATACAAAATTAAATCTATCCTATAGACTAAATCGACTTGAGCTTATATATTTTTCCTAGTTGATGAATGAGAATATTTAGCTACTAAAATTATGGGCTTAAAAATGATATCAAAATAAATATAAATTCAAGCGCACTTTTTATAAAGCAAGTCAAATACTAAAGCAACTCTGCTTTAAGCCTTTAGTTCATGTGCGTATGAAAAAGCCCAAGCCTAATTTTTGGTTTAATATAACGACTTGACATTGCTCTATAATTCATTTTATGCCTTGACGCTGAACCTCGTCGAAGTAGCGAAGAGAAAAATCAGCTTTGGCGACATTTTTATTGACAGCACTTGAAGGGAAAATTTGTGGCTGGGCTGTTGACAGTTAACTGTGTTAAAGGAGTCGTGTGTGTGTGTATGTTTTGGCTAGGCGAGTGCTAATAACAGGATTAACACAATGGAGGCAAATTGAATTTCGTTTGGCAATACACGCTTAAAGTCAAAGTCTAGTCCGTGAACAAGATGCCGGCCGGGAAGGAAAGCACAGCTACTAGCTAGGTAGGTAGGTTGGGCTCGCGTTCGGGGGGGACAGGAAGCGACCAGCGACGTCGTCGATGAGCAAACACAAAGTCCCAAACGTAATTTTCACAAATTCATTGAACTGCGTGAGTGTGAAAAATAACAATTTAGATAAACATTGCGACGGCGTCGCGGCGACCTCCATGGGTGTCGCTGCAGCACACACACACACACACACACATACACGCATCTATATATATATGTATATGGAATATATATATACTCTATATACGCGACGGGTGACGAGTACGTTGGCTCAGACATCGCCGACCGTTGACACAGAAATCATATTAATATAAATTAACGATGTGGAAAATTTAGTTTAGTAGTGAAAATGGCTTTGGCAGCAAGGAAAACTCACTCACTCGCTCTCACACTCTCTCGCTCTCTTTCTCTCTCTTTCTCTTTTACTCTCGCTATGGCTAACTCTCACGTCGCCAGCTCATCCGTCAAATGCCACAGCTCGCAAATCCCAGCAGTAGCATGCAGCATCTCCACACACACACACACACACACACACACACGCACACAGAGTTGAGAAATTGTTCTCTTTTGCTTATTTGGCCTGCTGCATATAATTTGTATTTGGAATTCACTTTTGGCACTCGCTGCATCAATCTCCATCTGCGTGAATCTCTGCCTCGCTGTTTTTCAATTAATTTCCCACTCTCTCTCTCTCTCTCTCTCTCTCGCTCTGTCTCTCAAGGCTTCAAGATTGTCCCATTGGCTGTGCAGCACTTGGCGCTAATTGCTTGCGCATCGACATAATCATAATCCGATTATACCTTGTATATTCCCGTTAGCCACGTGTGCTCTCATGTCGAGCGGCTGGTGCTTGAAAATCTTGTTGACTATCCCATCGATTGATTAAGCTTTAGCTTTTTATATTTTAACTAGAAGCGAAAGAGTTGAACTCATGCGGAGTGACTCGACAGCAGGGATACCCTATA